TCTCTCTCCCCCCTTTCTCTATGCATAAATATAGCTGTATGAGAAATCGACAATAACGGCGCACAGTCGCCGATTGGCGCTGATAAACGCTCCGGTGCAGGCAACACAAAGGGGCAGATCGGAGGAGAAATTAAGCTTCGAGGTGACATCATCGAAGACTTCATCATCGGCAATGCGCCCGAAATTGGCCGGGGACCTCTATGTGCACATTGATTACTATTGTCCTGATGGCGGCAGCAGCAGCAATGAGCTGGACGATGTGCAGCCGCTGCCGCCGGCACTGAGGCAAACGTTGCTGGCGAACAGTTTGTCCGCGTCGGCGGAAGGAGGCAGCGATGCAGCGATACGGCATGCGCCGCTCATCTTTGCCGAGCAACAGATGCTGTTGTGCAGCATCGAGGAACTGTTCCAGAACAAGAGATTTCAGCTGCTCTATTCGCGACATCAGCAGCGCAATTTTCACACCAAACAGCTGAGTTTCGTGCCAGCGCTGGCGCATGAAATTGTTGAGCTGGAGGAGCACGGACCCAATGCGAATGTTGGCCAATTGCTAGATCCGGGCACCATTTGGCATCCAATCGATCTGCACAAGCATCGGGGCCGCAAGTTTCTCCAACTGCTATACGAGACCATAATGAACCAGTGCGCACAGCGGGCCAAGCTGCTTCAAGCACCATTGCCGCTGCTCCAGCTGTGGAGCGATGGCTCCCCCACAGAGCATTCAATGGGCTGGTCAACAATTTGGCGTGCACTCTGCTCCATTTTTGTTCGCCAATCGGGCAACAGTCCCAGCCGTGAGCCGCCCGTGTGGCAGCCCCAGCCGACGTGTGCCTCGAGTCAACAGCTGCAACAGTTCATTGTCTCGTTGCATGTAGTGCGTGCCACGGGCGTGCCAGTGCGCAGTCGCCACATTCTCAACGTGGAGCAACAGGGACGACGACGGAACAGCGCCGGCACAAACAGCGATCTAAGCGCCAGTCTATTCGTTACCCAGAGTAAGTGAATCTGCTCGATGGAACGGCGCCTAGCCCAGAAATGAGACACTTGCCTATATATACATGCAAATATATACATATCTTTTATATACATATGTACGTTGTTGAAAGTTTAGTACTCGAATTGTGCATAAGCTCTCGAGCTTCCTTTCGATCCTCCTGGACCACATTTATCTACTCTTGCAGGTGCAGTTCCATTTACGCTATGTCCTTTTTCGACGAAGCAATCGTCCACATCAACCTGTCCATCTGGCCAGGCACTCCAGCCATGTTTTTCAAGTATTATCCTTGCGCAGTCGAGCGAGGGCTGAATGTCGTCCAAAATCAGTTGAGAACATTCCACCTTGCAGGCGTTTTTAGTTCCCCTTTCAGACTTGCACCAAAATTGTTCGCCAATTTGAAAGATCCCGTAGTGCTGAAAGCCCTCGATATCTTTTGGGCTAACCACGTTAGCACGATAGCTGCTCACCTCTCGTGCGATAAAAACCCATCTGGGTATTTCCTGGCGTGGAACGTTCAGTCTATCCAATTCAAGTGCAAAAGTACAGCGATCGAAATTCCTCAGTCCTTCAGCCGTGCGCACCAGGACGAGCTGCAGCGAAGCCAGCAGAGCGAACCACTTAAGCTTGCCATCCATCATTGGCATTGTGTGGCCAAGTATTAAAATTGACCGAAATTTATACCTTCCTAGCCGAAAAATATTTTGATTATTGTGGATACCTCCTCTCGCTATATAAATCTTTCTCTCGCTCACTCACTCTCTCTTTCTATGTATATTAAATATATGGTGCAGTAGCTTTCATAGAAAGTGTATGTGAGAGAGAGAGAGAGAGAGAGGACTGTCCACTGGTTATTCTGTTCCTATCTTGTTTATTAGGCAAGTTTCAATCGTTCGTTCAACCGCATCTAATGCCATAACTGAGAGGACCATACGTAGGCGATTAATTTTAGCAAATATCACGATACTCGTTGAAAGAACGTGACACGAATTACTCAA